TAGAGAAGAGTAGAAATTCAAAGATTCTCTACTAAAAAACTGACGATACTTTTTTGAGTAGTAAATCAAGAATTGTATAATAATAGAATTGTAGAATTATTTGATTTCGTTACCTCGCACATTGTTACGGTAAGTTAAATTTGATATATTAATTAACCCTTTGCACTCGACAATTTTTTGGCTAGAGAAGATTTGAATTTCTACTCTTCTCTAGCCAAAAAATTGTCGAGTGCAAAGGGTTAATTAATATATCAAATTTAACTTATCGTAACAATGTGCGAGGTAACGAAATCAAATAATTCTACAATTCTATTATTATACAATTCTTCATTTACTGCTCAAAAAAGTATCGTCAGTTTTTTAGTAGAGAATCTTTGAATTTCTACTCTTCTCTAACCAAAAAGTCGTCGAGTGCAAAGGGTTAATTTTTCTCTCTTTTAGCGACGTTAGAAACCCGACAGTTCAGTTCCTTTCCAAGCCTCAATCAGTTTATACAAAATATATATTCTTTTAGTTCCAACCAGCAGAATTTAATTTTCTCCCCTTTTTTCTCTTTCGTGTAATTTATATAAACCTAATCGCAAACATGCAATAAAAACGGGTATTCAATTAAACGGCTATCTTTCGCTGGTAAAACGCGATGAATATTACCGATATCGCAATTATCTAATTTATTGCCTGACTCTTTTGACTGCGCGCTCCGAGTGAACTCTCGATGTCGGTCAGTGTGTATGCGCCACGTCGAGCGTGCATGTGTGTACCATATGTAGATCGTGTGTTATCTTAATTACTCCTGCTTCGACATTAGAGGGAGACATTTGTACTGTCCATTTCCTACAACGTGCACACGCGAATTGCTGTAACGCATTGACAAACAGAAATGTCGAAAGTCATCTTCCATTTCCGAAATATGGAGAACCGGACACGTGTATAATATCACGTGTATCGTGACATCGGAAGCAGGAAATGTTCGCGTAAAATGTGCGATATTTTATGTTAATAAACTTCGAACGACACTCGGCATTAACGTATTTATGAGAGTGTCTATGAGCGCGGTAATTGGTGTGAGAGGAGCCTTTATTTGGATGGCGTCACCCTGCATCGGGATCTATGTTTGCTTCGAGGGACCATCAAGATTATCAATTTTCGAAGCTGGACTGAGTGACGCAATTGGTCGTCATAGGGCCTATAAGAACCTGGCAGAAGGGTTCGAGGGAACACACTCTCTTTCGACAATCTACCGTCTGCATCAACCATCGTACAAGACTCAAGCCACCGCACACTTGTGTACCGCAGGAGAATAAAATACAATGTGGGCAACTTTCACCGTTGCCCATTGTCTTCCGGCGAGAGAAAGCTCTTGGTTGGAGTTCTAGGAAGGCCTCGCTGAGGCCCAAGGACAACAGTCACAGATGGGGATGCTAGACGCCAAGCTGGGACGTCTAGACTGGAGCTCAGCGGAAGAAGCTACGGACACGCGAAGACAAGGCGACGGAGAAGGGACATGCCCTATAAAACAACGAGGGATGCGTTTTTGGGGCCACTATTCGACCCGCATACGGAGAATAAAGAAGTTACTCAGCAGCAAAGAGCATAGTTTCGCTCAAATCCTTTCCTACAATAATCAAAGTTTAACATTAAATCTCTATAAACCAGATCCTTTACCACATTCGTCATCGTAGAACGTATATAGACTTATAGGATATTTGCCTTTTTATCCGATCACGATGACTACCCCTCTACCTCGGATCTTAAAGGCACCGCGCACCCCAGATATCGAGGGAACAATCGTAGAAAGACGGTGACCTCGCCCTTAACGGTCGCTTGGGTAGTTAACACGTCTGTGGAACACGTCCAAGAATTCCCCGAGCTTTAACCGTTAGGTTAATTACTCCGTGGACCATAAATCTAGGCCGTCCCGGGGTGTCTGTAGCTTAAGCCGGCGGACAATCACGCGTGTACGTTTATACCGTTACAAGGCAGAGTTTTACCGCGTCTGTTCGATCGCGGGAAAATGTGCGACACGAGGACGACAAATCGAGCGGATCGAGCTGAGACTCACACTCGCGCCTAGCCTCTACTTAGGGTGCAAGTAATTGATCGTAGGCTCCGACGATTCTCCGCAGACGGCGAACGCGGACTATGAACTCGAGGGGGATGAGCCGGGGCGTTATCGGAAAACGGGGCGAAATTATTTAGCCGGGAAAGTCCGAAGGCAGATGTCGCGAAAGTTACGCGAGGAACCATTTCTATCCCCATTTCTGAGGCCGACTCGTATCTCCGGGGGATCATAATTCCCGCGATATCTCGGATCGTTGTCGCTCGGGCTGGAGCGGCCCCGACACGTTACGAACTTACTTTCCGACTTGTAACGTTATCGCGGCACTCTGGGAGGCCTGTGCCAGCACTCCCGATGCGACTTTCCCGCCCCGAAACTCCTGCACCCGCAACTCATCCGCACGGGCCACCCTGCGCGAGCGGAATTACTCGGTTCGGGGATTCTAATTGCAAACGGAGAAAGAAAGATGTTCCATCCTGGCGGAACGGTGGAACGCTCTCAACCGTTGGCCTACTCCTGCCTCCGGATTTACTCCGTTCCACCCCATCCGTGCTCGCGTTTCGGCGAACACGCGAAATTTGGCCCCGAGGTTGCGGAAAATTCGAGCGCCCACGAGTACCGCTAAACACGATTGTTTCTAGCGAGTAACGCGTTGATTTCTCTGCCTCTGGGGCGAGATAAAGTAACGTCCACCGACGTGCTACCGAAACGTTATACCGGAATAACGCGGCCACCGAATTAAGGGATGATATTTCGGGGAACGGGGAATTAACCGGGGCAGAAGGCGGAAAAGGGGAAAAAAGGATTGTCCACTAGCGACAAGCGAGCGTTGCACTCTAATTAACCGCGTATAAACCGTGAAAGGCGGTAGACGCGTGAGAGGGGAGAAAAAAGAGGGCGGTTTATTTCGTCCGGGGTTTACTAACGTATTCGCGATGCGACTAGGTGCGAAAACAGCGTGAAACGTGCGCTACGGAAAATTCGCTGTTGGCGAAACGAAGAGGGGCACGTAATAAATGAGACTTCCGTTTATCGAGATCTCGCCACGATCCCCAGCCGGCTGCAAATTCCCCGGGTACCAGTTACGAGTGCTCCGACGACCGAGCGGTCGTCCTGGGATATACGCGGTCGCGGAGGC